CTTTCTGTATGATAATGCAGATCTGAATTACATAAACACGGAGAATGTAATAACTGGTTTAATACAAGTTCAGTCAACAGCATCTGGCCTGTTGTCAGTTACGACAAAAAATACTCCAGTCATCTCTCAATTTCGAATAGATCTCAATCTCTCGAATTAATTACACAACAAAACGTGTTTAGAGTAATGAATAAAACATTGTCAAAGAGCTAGGCCCTATCACATTTACCATTGTTTTGCGAATTTTCAGCCAGTCCAGTCCAGCCACTTCAATAGGAAGCAACATGAGCGATTTTTACATGGAGGTAACTTCAGCATGTATTTTTTGTCAATGACCAATACTACTTTATAAAAAAAGATAAAGCATTGATGATATTTGTAAAGTAGATAATAATCACTCAGACCCACTGACAGTTTGTTTTCGACTTTTATCTTACATTACAGATGCAATTTACAACATTAATGTGTACAGTGCAATAAAACAATTAATTTTTGGTTAAACCAGCAGTATACACCTCAATAGATAACCACATACACATATTTTGAGACACTGAGTATTGACAGTGAGTATTTTAACATGTTTTACGTGAGGGGTTGTGACCCTTGTGTCAAAAAATGCGACAAAATCATTTGTACTTGCCGGGTGCCACTGAATTCTAAACTGTGTAAAACATTTTGGCTGAACTTCATAGGCAATGTGAAAAGCAGTCAGAATAAAGATCATGCAATTAATTTGGTTTATGTAACACTGAGCACGAGGGGAAAGGTGAAATAAACAAGCCATGTTGACATGATTTTTAGCTTCATAAAAATACTGAACAAGCAAAGGTACAATATTCAATTTCAATGATTTAAACAACAATATCTGTTCAAACATTTCCCTTTGCAATAAAAATAAAATCTATTAAAATTATTTTACATTCTTCAACACTTTCTATGATATCTCCTGAAGCCATTGAAGCCATTAAAAGCTCAAGATAAAACTGCAAAAGCACTGATATCTATGAAACCACTGCAATATCATCTATATCATCTATGAAAGCACGTAACGCAGAGAAACACAATCTATGTTTGTAAGTGCTGAACATCAGCTAGGAGGTCAGTCGATGTCACTGTCACTGCCAGATTCACTTAGCTGAAGATCATTTCCTGAAGGAAAAAAGACAACAACAAAACAATTGACCATATAAAACAGAGTAGGGTGTTCCTTTAACACTAGAACCGCCAGGGGTCGCTGTATACCTAAAAGCGCCAGCGGGTAAAATTTTCCCACGCACATGACAACTGTTTTTGAATGGCTAAAAGAACATATTATTTCACTGCATTATGCTACTGTCTTCACAAAGAAGTGTCTTGAGTCATGAAATGATTATGTCTAGTCATCAACTATATTTTTGTCCTGTTGTTTTATGTTCAAGGCTTTTTTTATGCAGGCTACACTAGTCACTTTTCATAACGGTCAATATTAAGCTAAACAAGCCTGCACTGACAACGAGAATTAGAAGGAAGTAGGCTAAATACATATTTTGGTGGTGTAATAGGCAATTATAATACAATGTCATTAATCAATATTAAGATAACCTATGTTATTTAAATTACTAAAATAGCCTATAGACAATAATGAGCAATAATAGGCCTAATTTACCACATTGCATAGGATGATGCGATGACAAATTCAAGCGCCCAGCTTCACTTAATTAATTATTAATTTGTTTAGCTATATCATTTATAATTTGAATTATACAAGAAGAACACCAATAAAATTCGGGTAATCAAAAAAAAAAAAAAAGGTTTTATTCATTACATCAGATCAGATTTTTTTTCTTCAGGAAACAGGCAGACTAGAATAAATAGCAACACAGAAGCGAACAATAAACGATAGAAATGGCAAAACAAAAATTAAATAATTAATCCAAATTTTGAACCCCCACCATCAGACTCTCCATCGCTCATGGCATTTAGTGCTTCTTATACCTCTTCAGCATTCATAAATCGCCTTCTTTTACTCATTTTGTCTTTATTTATGAAACAGATAACCGCAAATTCAGTGAGTGAAAGGCGTTGCCTAGCAATGTACTACTATGTTAAAACATAAGCAGCACGAAAATGACAGCGCAAACATACAGGCATTATATAGCGGGTAAATTTGACCCACGCTGGCGCTTATAGGTATAAATGCCCCGTTTTTTGATCTGGTTTTATCTAAACAGTTTTTAACAACAGGGGATTGTAAATCACACAATTTTTGTAAAAATCAGTGACTGGGAGACTTGAATGTCTTATTAAAAATCTTTTATGTACGTTTTAAAAACAGCCACGGGTAAAATTTAGTTCTAGTGTTAGTGTTAGGCAGTTCTAGTGTTAAATACAGGCACTTTAATGTCCCAGCCAGTACCGCTCCAGTATTATTAGCTATTATATCAGCGATATTAGCATCCACACCAGCGAACGATATCGTCTGCTGCTTTAAATTCTCGAGCTTGTTATAGCAGGATTGATTCTGATTGGCTGTCAATGTTTTTATCGTTCATCAGCTGAAAAAAAAAATCGTTCTGAAAGTGATTCCAACAATATCGTTTCTCTGTGCCTTTATTGTTATAGCTGTGGACTGCTATTCTTTAATATTGAGAATGATTTTTAGAACTATATCTTTATCGTTATCTTTATCGTTATCGTGCTTGGTGTGAACGGGCCTTTAGGGGCCATTTATGTGACACCATTGTCAACTAAAAATGAAAAACTTTTGATTTGTTTTGGCCGTTCATTTACATGAAAACAGCATTATGAAATGCAAACTTTTGAAAAGGGTTTCAAAGTAGGCCTGGGCGATAAAACGGTATCGATATTTATCGACGGTACACCTTCATCGATAACGATATAAAAATAGTTAGATATACCGCATGATATAGGCACGTGCTATGAGTGAAAACATGAACACATGCTGAATTGAGTGCTGTGCCTGCCTGTGATGAGGAGATCGTGAATAAAAAAATGAATATTAGTCGAATTTAAACTAAACATTTGCATTTGACTGCAAAAATGGTACAATTGAATGTTAGGAGTGCGTCAGGGAGCGTCATCAGTGGTGCGCGAGATGCGGTGATAATGATGTAAGTGACGTTGCATTTGAATGTTTTGTTAGTCTAGCCCACGAGACGCGCCGCTGCTGTGTTATTCGTTCAAAATATTAGAGAAATATAGTAGCTCAATGCGTAGAAAATCTTGATTAGGTTAAAACCGAAACCAAGCCATTCACACAGAACGCATATTCAGCACATTTTTACACGGACAAATATGACTGCTGCACTCGCGTTTCATGCAAGAGATGCAAAGAAAGTCATGTAAAGTTAAAACAGTTTTAACGTTTAGAAAACGCGACGCAAATTTGTGAAGGTTTATTTCATTTCACTGCGTCTCGTATGTTTTTAAATGCAATCTGTGTGATCGGCGATTTGGCTCTTTGTATTAGGCTAAGCAATGCATAAACACATGATGCTGTTTTGTTCATAATTGTTTATGCAGTTTACAAAATTATATTTGATTTATATATGTTAATTTAGACGTTATGCACGCTTTTATAGACAGTTATTTGAATTGACAATTAATGCGCTGCATTATTTTGCCCATTGCGCCCTCCTGTGGCCTCGGGAAACAAGTCAAAAGTTTCCTTAAGACTTATTTAATCTGCATATAACTGAATTTTGTGAAAAATGACATTACACATGCCCACTGTGTGCGCTATCATGAATATGCTGTACATGAAATCCCACCAATCAGAGAGATGCAGCAAGCAAATCAGGTAAAGACAAAATATTTAAATATTTGTACATTTATGCATATTTAGCAATAAGCTTAAAAATATGTTTCTATAGATACAAGATATAATTCTATTGATATATCGTTGATATATTTTTTAGCTATATCGCCCAGCCCTATTTCAAAGTGCAAGTTTTAGAAAACGATAAGGTTACCATCTCTGTGTAAACTACAAAACCACGAATTTGTGAAAACGGTGAGGTCATGCGCATGCGTATGACATGTTCAGTCTATATGCGCATAGTGTTTTTTTTACATTGCAAACTACTGGCCCGGAATGCATAATACAGTGTTTTTAGTAGTTTTCGTAGATCTGTGTGAATGGGGATCATTTTGACAATTTTGTTGTCTGTATGTGAAAAACATTTTAGTACATCGTTGTTATGTAAATGTACCCTAAAACGTAAAAAAGTTGACCACCAAATCTGTCAGTGTTCTATGTCATATCAGATGTCTGTCTTTGTGTTATTCTACTGTGTGTTTTTGTACTGTATCATGCTTTAGTTTTTTTTTTGCTGATGAGAAATACTTGTCTATGGCTGTAGCAGTGAATAAAATGACTGTGAATGCTCTTACGGAGTGTGTTCATCAGCTGATTACTGCCTTGTGATTTGTTCATTCCGTTGGCCATGTTGTTCCTGCTGGGGGAGAGATGAGTTTCCTGTTCTCCGTCACTGCAGGAGCTGTCATCACCACTGCCAGAACAACTGCCAGAGTCTGACGAACTGCTGCTGCTCATCTGCTCAATCACATCCACCTCGGCCCGCAGCTCTGAGACGAGAGCAAACCAGAAAGATTTACCCCAAAAAAAACAGTAATATAATGCTATTTATTTTACAACTAAACCAAACACAGCACAATTGTATTCCTGCTAGGGCACAGGCACACAAATATTTAACCCTGCAAATCAATTTTTGAATTTAAAACATATGTAAAACAATGAAGAGTAAACACAATGAAGTAACATATTTAAAGAAAGGAAAATATATATAGGGTCACAAATCCCTAAAACATATTTATAAGAATTTAAAAGATGGTATCACACTGTTTTTTTGTTTTTTCATTTAAGGAAAAAGTGCCAAACATTGATTATATTAATATTAAATAATATTTTTGTTGGTTAAAAAGCAAAGCTAAAAATGTTATAAAATCTTAAATATCAGTGTCACATGAGACTGAAAATTGCAGATACCCAAAACTTGGTGAGATTGTCCCAAAACGCACATACAATTCATGCATGAATACACACACAGGCCACAGCTGGACGGTAAAGTTCAAAAAAATAATTTAATATTTTTGATAACTCAAAAATGTAATGGGGTAGTAGAATCTAATTTTTTGAATCAAGATAAACTATGTATCCAACTTTAATTCATACTAATACATTACTTACACAGCAACTTTTCAAAACTTTGTATACATGGCCAAATGATTATTTTTTAGTAACAAAGTTCATCAATATTGAGTTTTACAGAATCCAAATATTTGCATTCTTAAATTGAATATGAAATTTTTCTATCAAAAAGCAATGTTTTATCTATTTCTTCAGTTTCCTGTTAAAATTAGCTTTTGTTGTTGTTGCCGTTGTTGTAAGTTTCTTCTTATCATAAAACAAATATGTTTTTCTTCACTGTATGAGGCACAACTATTCTTCTCCTATAATGTGTAAAAGGTTGGTGATGGCTATGACAAAAATTAATTCATGAATCATTCAGTATCCCATCTCGGTCTGGGGGGTCCCCCTCGGTAGAAATCGCGGTCCAGGGCACACAGATCGGACCGAAAGGGCACTTTAGCGTTGGCTATTAAAGGGGCAGGGGCTCAAGCAAGCCCTCTTTTCACTCATGAACGCCTGCAGGATTTTATCAGGTGGTATGCACAGAGGAGGCTTTTTTCATCACAAACAACGCTACAAAATTCAAAAATCAATATATCGTCATGTTGATAATTAAACTCTGTAGCCAGTTATGCAGTTAAGAATTGATTCTTCAGCCCAAACAATCAGAGCAACAGTACAGCAGAACAAATGTAGCCTACTGTTTCAACACTGTCAAAGACATTCAGCACATAGGGGGAAAAACAGGGCTATTTGGTCTCTGGTGTTTTACTGACTTCAGATGATTCGGAGTGAGCGGTCTGAACGAATGCAACTCAATTCCGACCTTTTTGCAAACATTCAGCGAAAAGAAAAAACAGACTCAAAAGAATGATAAATTCACAAATGATTGGAATTGCTGGTTCAGTTGACAGAAATACAGGACATACAGTATCTCACAGAAAAAGATATAATAAAATATTTACAAAAATGTGAGGGGTGTACTCACTTCTGTGAGATACTGTACATAACTGTTTAAATATTCCCACAGAAAACATTTCTCAAGTCATCAGAGCACTCGTGGTATGCACAGATTGTTATGCACATAATATGTTTTCTTGTATTAAACTAGAAAAATTAAAAAAATTGACAACTGAATGTATAACTGCCTATAAGTGTATAATCGCAAGCATGCGGTCTAACCTCGTTTGATGTCATCCAGCTGAGGCTCAGGTGAAGGGTTGTCTTTGGTTGGTGAGGTCTTAGCCCCCACTCCGGGCTTGATAGGGGTGCGGAACTGTGCCGTCAGCTGGTTAGCTCTCACTGACTGCTGCTCTATACGAGCCTGGATCTTACTGCTGCCCTCAGCTCTGACCAACACAAACGCACATCTTCAACATCACACACTGACGACTGACAGTGAAAGTGAAAATACAGCACAATGTGACAATTTTAACCAGTCAGAGCAGGTGTGGAGGAGTTCTGTCTGTTTGCACACACGCTCACATTCACATTAAACTGTATAGCTTGGTGGTCCTCAAACTATGGTCTGCGTAATACTAGTGGTGGCATGTGATGTTAATGGTAATATTTCATGTAGAAAAACTTTTATGTATCTTTTGAATGAATAGGTAATATTGCATGCACTAGCGTTTATAAGCACATACAGCACAGGTTTTGCACGCACGTGTAGAGATTTACCGCTGATTACAGAACCGGCTTTACTGACGAGATGCGCATTAAATATGCAATTTGAAAATGCTAATTCAGGTGCCGCTTTTGGAGCTGTAAAAATAGCAGTTTCCCCAGTAACGGCTTTACACAAAGCAGCACTGCGCTCACAAACGCTGCTTTATCAGGCATTACAAGCAAAATTAAATGAAAATGAGACCAATCGGACCAATCACCGCAGATTACGTCACGCAAAGGAGGGGTTTGGAAAAATGAATCATTGAGCAAATCGTTTGGGAGTCGTTGAGCAAGTAAGGTAAAAATATATGCATATTATAAGACGATGAAGGTGTTTTTTGACCTTGCATGCATGTCAACCTGTTGTTGGGGACTCCCAAAACCCAAAATATGAACCTTTCATTACCCATAATACGGGCACTTTAAAAAAAAAATTATCTATTTTCTATAGGTGAGCTTACAGTATTTAATGTTTTGAACTCAGAAACACTAGATTCAGCACTCAGTTTTAAGCAGCATATGATTAATAAAACCTTTAACCGAAAGGGCCACTTAAAATACTGAGTTTACTAGTTTATCTGAACTACAGGAATACTATTATTAATGAAAACAAAAGAGAGACTAATCAATGCCTTTACGCTTTCAAACAAAAAGACTTGGTGACTAGTTGACACTTCACCTGAAATCTCTTCACAAACAAAAGTTCACAGTTCATTTGGCTGCTCACCTTGTTTTCTTGACTTGTATGCTGCTGCTGAGCTTTTCCAACATAAACTCTCCAGTGTCATGGTTGATGATGAGAACGCAGTCTTTCTGATACGGCCTTTTGTTGCCCTTAAACACTGTCATTGGTGGAGTGGAGCCCTTGAGAGAAATTACAGTAAGTGGTCCATAGAAAGGGTTTCATACATGAATCAGCCACAGATCTAGGGGACAATGACTCTTACTGGTATGTGTGGTAATGTGATGGTAACCTCATCTCCTTTTCCTACTTGTAATTCTCCTTCACAGGATGTATCTATGGATGCTGGTTTAAAATCATCTGTGGAAGAAAGTGAACACACAGTATGGCAATTTATGTTTACTTATAATCAGTGTTGGGGGTAACGCATTACAAGTAACGCGATTACTCTTGACAAACATTTGTGTGTCTTTTTTTATTGTGTGTTGAAATTTCTTCTTCTGCATTCTACAGTACGGACGTAAATTTACTTTCCCTTCAATCTGAGGCTTATTCATTTCACTTCTGGTGTGAAAAGGCTTTTATATTTGGCAAAAATAGAACTTTTTTATTTTAAAAACAAACAAGCAAGCCCTGTCCAGATTTTAAAAGTAACGCAAAAGTAACGTAACGCATTACTTTTCATAAAAAGTAACTACGTACAACACTGCTTATAATAATAAAGCCCATGCATATTTTTTTTACTGCTGGCTGAACAACAAACAACAACAAATTCTGTTCCAACTGTAAGTTATAAACAGTGTTTTCACCCATTTGATTGTATTTATTTATGCATTCATTCGTTCAAGCGTCTAAAGGCGCAGTAAGTACCGCAGTAGAACAAGTCATAATGTTCATATTGTCAATGATTTTTACATCATCCGCACATTTATAACACCAAATCTACGGTCTGGTCTGCAGGACGTATATCATTTTCAGTTTCCAAATATTGGTAAGATTCTTGCCACACCTCTTAGAGGTGTGTTTGTGTGCCACTCAGTTTATTCAATTATGTCATACTTGATGGACTCACATCTGATGGTGTGAAAAGATGATTTTGGCCTCTTCTCAAAACTATCTCCGAGCTTTAACACATGCTCTTCTTTATCCAGAGGCGGATTCGAGCTGCCGTTCATCACTGCGCGTCACATCGAATTCACCAGCCTCACACAAAATAGCAAAGTCTTCGGTGAATATCACATGTAAACAAAGACAAAGAAGTTGTTGCTAAAACACTCTTGACAGATCCAAAACATCCGGGTCACGAAAACAAAAATAACGCCGTTACCAAAGATGTTATGTTATTGTGGCTTTAAAACTCAAACATTTAGTATTTAAAACATAATGCAGAAAATAACAATGCATCAGCTGAGCTATTAATATTCACACATCAAAGTGAGCGAAAGGTCAAAATGACGATCAAATTAATAAATAATAATGACTGAAATAAAGTTATTATGAGGAAAAATCTTTTTTTTTTTCACCCAGTAAGATCGTGTGTTAGCACAACTGCAAGTAAATAATTTGCAAGTTTGTTTTCTTCATAAAAGTAGCGTGATAAAAATAATTAAATTCAGGAAAAAAAAACCGCTTCTGTCGTTTGACTTCCGGTTCAGTGATGTCAGGGGAAAAAAAGGTGATTAATAAATACGTGAGCAAAATAAGATTACCATCTTTTTTAACAATCACTGGTGATATTTAAATAGTATTCCATATTAAAATGCTTCAGCTTTAATCAAATGTAAAAATGTTTATCACATACCCTGTAAGTTAATGGCGTGACACTCGTCCGATTACCGTAAATACACAAAACACCAAGCATCACGTGCTTTGACGTTTCCACATACGTACACTTACACCTTCTTTAAATGAAAAATAAATAAATCACATACTGTATTAATTCATTCAAGTAAAAAACAAAACAAAACACAAAACATATCTGGTTAAGAAAAGCTTAAACAGCAGGATCAAAGCGGTGTTGGTATTTTTCCATGGCTGCGTTATCTTGGTTCATTACGGTAAATAGACGTAAAGTCGTTCCTGTTTGAATATTATTAGTCATGTGTCAGTTTTGTATATGAATGTAGAACACTTCACAACCATGACATCTACACAACCAAGCATCATTCTTTTATTCAGTGGGAAGCGAAAGTCAGGGAAGGACTATGTGACAGATGTAATACAGAAAAGGTGAGATCTCGAGTTTGATGTAACACTGTTGAGTGAATAGATGAAATGCATGAATACATATATGCTCTTCTAAATGACAGACTGACAGCAGAGATGTGCTGCATACTCAGACTGTCTGCACCTCTCAAACAGCAGTATGCTAAGGTACAGTACACATCTGCTGCCTTGCACTGTTTTAAAGCCTGACATGTGAAATAATAGCCAGATTTGTTTAAAGGGAACAGTTACTGAACCTTTAGACAAAATATTAAAACATCTAAAGAAAAAGTTTGCATATGGGTTTTATGTTTTGTATCATTTATGATACATCAGGCTTTAATAGCCCACATAAATCTGCTGATTATCTGTATGTATGTATGTATATAATAATTATTTGTAACATATATATTTTAGTCTTTTTTTTTTGTGGATGTATGAAGTCATTTCCTGTCAAGCTTACAAAGGTGTATCAGAGTAACCAATGGTATAGTTCATCACATTAACAAAAATCATGTTCCACAAAGTCTTTTTTGATTTTGAACAATATATTTATAGTGCGTTTTTTTACCGTAAATTTTACGGATTTTTTTTTACAGTGTGTATAACGTTTTGAACAATATATATTTATCATTATATACATAACAAACATGTTTTGTTAGGGCATGTGCTAGATTTTTTTTTTTTTAATACACACCATGTTTCACTATTTTGATATATAATGCCAATGCAGTTATTTTAATTGTGGCTTAAGTCTCAAAATAATTGCTGGGCCAGTATCCCTAAGCCATTTATTTTAGTAGATTGGTGCATCTCAATCAGCCACAGCTATGGTGTTTGATATAGATATGATACAGGCGATGTTTGCTTTAAAAACTGAATCTTCTTCTCATCTAAACTGCTGTAAATAACCTGTAACCTCTTCATGTTTCCCTCTTATTTTTCGATAGCTGAGGGGTGAGGAGAATAATGTGACCTTGTTTTACACTAGATTTTATTTTAACACAATTTTCACAAATGTTAGTTATTGTTTACATAAAGCATGCCGGTCAGCAAGCTTATTACAGTTTGACACAGGTTACTCATATAATATATAGTATACAGTGGCAAGGAAAGGTATGAGTACACATTAGAAGTGGTTCGTTCTCTGCATTAAATGGTCTTAATGTCATCTGATTTTCAGCAAAGTATAGACAAACATCTGATAATTTTTTTGACCAATTAATGCTGAAAAACAAACTAATTATTATGGGCTCACGTACTTTTTCTTATCACTGTATATACTGTATGTGACCCTGGAGCACAAAACCAGTCATAAGTAGCACGGTTATATTTGTAGCAATAGCAAACAATACAAAATGGGTCAAAATTATCGATTTTTCTTTTATGCCAAAAATCATTAGGATATTAAGTAAAGATGATGTTCCATGAAGATATTTTGTAAATTTCCTACCATAAATACATCAAAACGTAATTTTTGATTAGTAATATGCATTGCTAAGAACTTAATTTGGATAACTTTAAAGGTGATTTTCTCAATAACTCAGATTCCAGATTTTCAAATAGTTGTATCTCAGCCAAATATTGTCCTATTGTCCAGTCAGATGATGTATAAATCTCAATTTCAAAAAATGAACCTTTATGACTGGTTTTGTGGTCCAGGGTCACATATAAATAACACAAAATAATATTAGCCTACTTGTTTCTGGGAAAACATTACTGCACTGCAGAGTTATTGTAGTTAACTAAAATGAAAATCAGAAATGAAAACAATAAAATAAAAACATTTTCATTACTTGATATAAAAAATAAACCTAAACTTGTTTTCTTTCAGCTAGTTGCAACAATTCTCATTATAAAAATAACTATATAGAAAAATAAATATACTAAGGAAAATGAAAAAACTGCAAAAATATAAAAATGAAAACTAATTTAAAATATTAATATAAGAGTATCTCAACGATACTAAAACAATACCACTGGTTCTTGCTGATTGCTCGGCCAATTATAAGCAAGAAGGTCTTTGCTTGGTTGGGTGGATGTAGTTTAAAAGAGGAGTTACAGTAAGAAATGCTTGGTCTCAGAATTAAGAAGAATATCAGTACTGCTATTTTAAGCCAACATTATTTATTAGTTTATTGTGGTAACAGTAACTGTTGTTTTTTTGGAAACACACTGCAAACTTTTGGGAGTGACAAATGCATTTAAACGTTGAGGTGAATTCTCTGAAATATCATTCTGTTTGTGTTCTGAAATGGAAATTGTTGTTGTTCTCTGTGACAACTTTAACAGAAACTGATGTATTTCTGAATATCAGGATCATAGTCTTGACTACGAGCAGCTGTTGGGTTCTGGTCAGTATAAGGAGAGCTATCGTGCTGATATGATCCGCTGGGGTGAGATGAAGAGACAGCAGGACTCCGGCTTCTTCTGTAGGCTGGCCATCAAACATGCCACACAGCCCATCTGGGTATGAGCTCTCTCACCCTCAACAACCTGCAAGCTGGAGTTAAGTCTTAAGATGATCTAAGAATGTGTGAATGAGCAGTGCAGCTTTAGTCAACTGCACATTCTAAAGCAAGCTTGACTCACTATACGAGGACATGAACTTCATCTCCGGAGCTGCTCTCTCACCATTTAATTTGAGAAAAACTATGATAAGATACACAGAGAAAATGTCTTCACTACAACCCTTAAAAATAAAAGAGTGGTATAACTTGAAGAAATTGTGGCTGACATATATCACATACTATCCCTCGCTCAGATAATCAGCGATTGCAGAAGGATGTCAGACGTGCAATGGTTCCATGAAGAGTTTCCTGATAGATGTATCTGTGTCCGGGTGGAGGCTTCTGAGCAGACGAGATCACAGAGGGGCTGGAGATTCGCCACAGGTAAAACTGCTTAAAGGGGTCATATGATGCGATTTCAAGTTTTCCTTCACTGGATAGCTGGCCAATCAGAGCACACCTCGCTTTTCAGAACGATGAGCTTTGTAAAAATTGAAAATCGTTTCAAAAAGGCGGGGCATAGAGGAGAAACAGTAATGTACAGTATGTGGAAAATAATGTGTTTTTTTTAACCTTAAAACGCATAAACACATTTCATTACACCAAATACACAAAATGTTCTTTTTAGCAACATCATATGACCCCTTTAAGAAAAACACATCATAACAGTGTTGTGGGGATTGTGGTAATGACGTGATCATGTCCTTATGTACCTGTCCAGGTATAGACGACGCCGAGTCCGAGTGTGGTTTGGATGAGGCTGTGAAGTTTGACTATATCATTAGGAATGATGGAGCTGATGACGTTCTGGAGAAACAGCTGGAGGATCTACTGTCTTTGATCAAGTCACGGGAGGAGGAATCAAACACACTACATAACATTAAACCGGAAAAATAAAAGCTGCTTTTTGCCATCAGTTCGTGTATCCTGCTCACAGGAGAACATGCAAACTCTTCTGTATTTTAATGAATGGTTCTCGTCATAATTTACTCACCCTCTTGGCATTCCAAAAAGTGTCTTATTTTCTTTTTGTAACAAAAAGGATCATTCTTTGCCTTGATTTTATATACATATATATAATTTTGTATATACTTTTATTTTGATGGATGATTATTAAAAAGTACTATTATGTTGTTCGGTACGTTCTGTGTACAATATTAATGTATTTAATTATACAAATGACAAATTCCATTATCATCCTTGAATCGCTGAGGGGTGAAAGAACTGTGACTGTTCTTGTCAAAAACACATAAAAGTAGTCCATATGGTTTGTGTGTGTTATTTCAAATCATCTGAAATCGTACGATATCTCTGATCATTAATTTTTTTAATTCCTTATTTCCCAAAACTGGGACAGGGTACATTAACGTGCTTTGTTTGAATATGTGCAAGGGCAAATTAGAGTTGAGCTATAATTCAGAGTGAAAGTTCTTTAAGGCTTTCACCTAAATGTTAAAAAAGAAATACATTAGAAATATCAGGATAGGGATGCACAAATAGTGTATAAAATTTGACAATTGCGAAAGTGACTAACATTTAACACACACTACACAACTTTTAAAGTTGTCAGATTTAGGTTTTTTCACACTACACAACTGTCTTTGCCGATGCCTAAGATATGTTTAGGTAGACCTGTCAGCAATGACAGTTCTAGTTTAGTTTATTTGTTTACAGGGGCAATGCACATTAATAAACATGACTGTAAATGTGCCAGAATTAGCCAAAAAGGCTATTTTCCATCTGTAGACCCTTGACAGAATGTTAAAAAGTCACCCTAAAAACAAAAACAGCATCTTACACACATATACACATCTACAAAGAAAAGGGAATAAAAAGTAAAATACTGAAAAAATACAGATACATGAATGCACAATAAAAATCACTACTAAAATACAAATATAAGTAGTTATCTAGACAAAATAAAATATAAGGAAAAGGAGAGAGAGAGAGAGAGAGAGAGAGAGAGAGAGATGGTGACAGGAGAAAGCAACATAGCCAAGAGCAATCAGTACAAAGAAGTCTACTGTCAAGAATACAGTACTAATGTTGACAGTGCTGAGTTGTCAGTAACCATTTTTTTTAAATGAAACTGAAAAGAACCATAAGTATAGTCTTCTAAAATTGTTGATGGGGTGGAGTTCCATTCCCTTGCAGCTTTGACTGAGAGTACAGACTGACTAAATTTACATATTTTGAGAGGAATAATACAGTCCCCTCTTTCCCACCCCTTGTAGACCGGTGAGCAGTTGTTCTAATATTCACAAACTGTTTTAATGGTGAAGTCAGGCTATGTATAGTCTTAAACAGTAGACAAATATGTACATATTTGATCAGGTTATCCCAGCTTAGCAAATTATATTTTTTTTAGTATTGAGCAATGATGAAACTGAACTGAAAGAGTTTTTAGTGATTGTTTATACAAAGACTCCAGTGGTTTCAGAGTAGTTATACTAGCTTGCGACCAAGTTGTTAAACAATAAGTGATATGAGAAATAATCATGGAATGCACATACATCAAAGCGGCCTCAGACAACATATAATCACGAATAAATCTAAAATCTGACAGACTAAATCTGACCCGGGTACAGACATTTTTAACCTGAGCCTTAAATGAAAGTCTGGAATCAATCAGAACGCCGAGGTACTTATATTCAGATACAACTTGCAGTCTTTCCCCTGATGCAAAAACATCTGGCACTACACTTGAACTATTAGTTTTGGTGAAGAACATACACACAGTTTTAGAGATGTTCAACTGTAAACAGCATTGTTTTAGCCAAGCTGTGACATGAACCAAGGATTCTGTAAATTCATTTGCAACTTGTGACACACTGCTTCCTGTATATAGATAACAGTGTCATCCGCATACATTTGGATGTTAGTGTTAGGACAGAGGGATGGAAAATCATTGATGTACAATGTGAAAAGCAAAGGACCCAGAATAGATCCTTGTGGAACACCAGTGGATATACTTAGGGGGGCTGACTTATAATTCTGTATACTAGCATACTGTGTGCGACCTGACAAGTATAATTCAATCCATTTTAAAGTATCTGGAGAAAAATTAAAACCTAATAATTTAGACATAATAATTCTGTGGTTTACAGTGTCAAAAGCCTTCCTGAGGTCAAGAAACACCACCCCCAACAACCCCTCCTTTGTCTAATAGAGACTTAACTTTTTCAGTGAAGTAACAGTTTGCCATCTCAGTTGAATAGTTTGCTCTGAAGCCAAACTGCATTGGATGTAAATCAAAATAACTATTATTCAAATAATTAGTGATTTGTGCAGCCATCAATTTCTCTGCAACCTTTGAGACTATTATAGGTACAATACTAATAGGTCTGTAATTACTAGCAGAGTGAGGATCACCACTTTTGAATATAGGCACAATAACAGATGAATTCCAAGCACATGGGAACATCCCCTGAGAAACTGAAAGGTTGATATGTTAGTGATAGGATTAACTAGTGACTCACTAAGCTCTTTATGCATTACTACATCCATACCAAATATATCCTTTGCTCTAGATGGTTTAAGAGATGTAATTGTTCTTCTGACATCTAATTCAGAGACTGCCCTTAAAGTAAGGGCTTGTTCCACTGTATTAACCAGACAAATGTCTGTATACTTAGGAGAGAAACATTGTGCAATTGTGACTACCGAGTCAACAAAGTAATAATTAAGTGCTTCGGCCACATCAGATGGATTATTAGTCAGCTTCCCATTTACCATCAATTCAATTGATGTCCTATCTTTTCTTTTATCTCTTTTTAAATAGTTCAACTGTATACATTTGTATACAATGTCATTTTAATGACACTGGGGAAAGAGAGAACCCGGGGAACTTTAAGGGGAAGTCGTGGCCTAATGGTTAGAGAGTCAGACTCGTAACCCAAAAGGTTGCGAGTTCGAGTCTCAAGTGTGGCAGGAATTGTAGGTGGGGGGAGTGAATGTACAGCGCTCTCTTCCACCTTCAATACCACGACTGAGGTGCCCTTGAGCAAGGCACCGAACCCCCAACTGCTCCTCGGGTGCCGCAGCATAAATGGCTGCCCACTGCTCCGGGTGTGTTCACGGTGTATGTGTGTTCACTGCTGTGTGTGTGCACTTTGTCTGCGTTAAACGCAGAGCACTAATTCCTAGTATGGGTAACCATACTTGGCCACACGTCACATCACACTTTAATCACATTACAGAAATCATATCTTTATTCAACTAAAATGGATTGTCCTATTTGCCTTTACTTACCTGGATTAACGTCCACAACGAGAAATTGAAACCGCCAGACTTGAAAGTTCTTTTTTTTTTAAATCCTTCCCCAAATACTCTCACCGGGTTTTCTCATCTACATTTTTAAAATGAAGCATTTGGCATGTCAAACAAACAAGCCTAGATCAAATCCAGAAATCCAAACATATACTGAATGAAATAACTGTCGTTCTGTCTTGTTTAGTACTTTGTGGGTTGAAGTGTGAGATGGCAGAACATTTGTGCTTCATTGACTGGAAAATGTTCAGATGTTAATGTGTTGTGTAGTTAAAGAAATACAGTAAAGCAGTTATCAATGCATTTATATAGATGACAAATTACATGATTACAGCCATATATTTAAACACACAGTACAATGAAAACTGAATAAAAAATGCAATATATAAACAATGATTTAACAGCTATGTTTAAAGGGCGCTGTTCTTCCTCTTACATTCAAACATTTATACATAGACAATATCAACAGTGTGCCATTAAACAAAGCTTTAGTGTGATTTCAAGTGGCCAGAAAAGAATTTACAATCTTTTTCCACTTCATTCCATTATTAATATCAATATTAATAACTTTTTTTTTTATCAGTACAAGAGAAAACCTCCACTGTTCATAACATTTATTATCATTTATAAGAGGCAAACTGTAGTTATAACTGCATTCAAAGTCTTTTTTAAGCTGCTGCCAAATGAGCAGGGCATTCAATGTGCTACATTTCATACATTTCATCTTTACCATAATATCACTTATTTTCAGCAGAAGAAAATCATGTCCATTGACACATCCTTCCAATAATATAACATGGGACAATACAGCTAAAATTGACAATCGATATATTAAAACTGGAAGTCAGCACGAGAACAGAATATCTTCTAATGTTTCCTTCAGTTCCAACTCAGTATTTAGTCCTTTCATTAAAAAAATACACCATTAACCATTTAAATAACAACTGTAAAATAATGTAGACAATGTTTACAAAAACATTGAAAATCTTGATAAAAAGACTTAATTGTTCTATACTATGTTTAATATAAAATGCAATAACATTATTCTACAGAGTAAAGGCCTGTTCACACCAACACAAATTTGGTCAAATGTTTGCATTTTGTCTGTTCAAACCAATATGTAAAAAAGGCAGGGCTGAACCAAAACGCTAAATCACTCTCTGAGAGAAGGAGGCGCTTATAGAAAAAGCAGAATTACCCTGGTTACTCCAGTACACAAAGTGTTGTGTCGTTTGAGACAGCCGATTTTTACAGTGAAGAAAGGAAATCAAAACAGTATTTACAAGTTTTCAAACAGCCCTCACTATGGTGTTTATCAAGCAACACCAAATACAAGACAATACAGAGACAGAGAAAAGATTCAGACGTCTCCCTCTGCTATTCACTGTTGTTTAGCAAAATAGTCTGTTCATGAGCACCACCAGCGTTATGTGCAGTTAGACAGAAAAGAGAATTACATTCCCTATTCATAAAAAAATAAATATCTGTCACATTGCCAGCATGTAAATGTTAGTGTCAGATGCATTAAAGGGTTAGTTCACCCAAAAATGCCTTTGTTCACCCCCCGGAGCCGTGTGAGACACTTTTTTTTATGGATGGACGCATTTTATTTAACTGCTTTTGGACGGATGCATGCAACACCTGCTGAGTGCCATTAAACAGCTTGAAAGATCAAAGACAATTTTTTATAAAACTTTGACTGGATTCGTCTGAAAGAAGAAAGTCATATGCACCTAGGATGCCTTGAGGGTGAGTAATTTATGGGCTAATTTTAATTTTTGAGTGAACTAACCCTTTAACAGCAGTTAATTGAAATTAAATAAACCACACCTGATTTTTCCATATTTGGCGTGGTGTGAACAGGCCTTGAGTCATAGCTGACTGCTGAGGTGAGTTTCTAGAGTTTTGGAGGAGGTTAAGGCTACGTTTACATGACAACGATGTAGTCAAAAACGGAAAAGAGTTTCCCTTGCGTTTTTAAAAAGTTTTACGTATGCAC